CCCAAAATCTCCCTCTGTGGATCCCTTCCTCCTCTTTCTACCGTTTGGATTCTGGTCCCAGTCTATAAAACACCTGGACTCTGATTCAGCTTCTTTCTTTCTTTTATTTTTTTGTTGTTGTTTCCCACTCAGATGGAATTTGCCTTTGATTGCCCCCCCCTCACTGATCTGATTGAGGCGAGAGCTGAAAACACTCGGGATGAGATTATTATTGGTCTGTGCCACTGGGTCTGTGGTTCTCTTTCTCCATCTATTATTCATGACTGCATTTGTTCTCCCGTCGTGTAAACGACGCTCAGAAAAAACGCTCGCCTCCGATTCCGCGTAAAAACTCATCTGCCGGGGCTGGAAATAAAAGCCCAAACCGGGGCGCAGACCGCCGACTCATCATTAAATCCTCCATCCCTCTCGTAGGTCACCACAGTAAAAAAAAAAGAAGGAAAAAAGCCCTGTTTGTTGTTGTTTTTTTTCCTCTAGCTCAACCAGAGAAATCTGCTCTCCGGTTCCTTTTCGGTAATTTGCGGCGACAGGCGGCGCTTGTTTGTTGGTTTGAGCTGTTAAATATTCAGGCGGACAAAGTTTTTACACGTGTAAAAAGCTGGAAGTTTGTTTGCCTGAATAATTTAAAGAGATGGAGGGGTGGGGGTGGGGGGTGTCGGTCCACTTTGGGGGCGATTTTACTGGCTTTTAATCGATGTTTGTCCGAAACGATCTGATATGTTGTTTCCACTTTGGTTTAGTTTTGCTGCTGACTGATTTTTCTAGCTGAGTTTTGCAGTGAAATCCCCCCAAAATAGACAATCCACTGGTTCTGGGTGTAATCTGTGAGTAAACATATGTGTTAGTTATTAGCAAAAAGTACCTCAGTAGACAAAACTTTATTTCCTTGAGCTGATAAAAAGCTTTAGCCGGGAGAAAACTGCCTCTTAGGGAAGCTGTTTTGGGAAAAGGATCCCCTCAGATGAGTTTAGAAGGAAAAATGTATCCAATCATCTAGGTGTACACCTTAAAAAATCCATTAAAATCATATCTCCCGACTCCTAAATCAATCCAGTTGGCCAAAAAGTGCTTCATGTATTTACCAAAAACATGTCCAAGTCATCGTATAAACCGGTGATGTAAAAAAAGAGAGAAAAAAAAGGGAAAGAAAGAAAGAAAGATGAGGTTATACGGAAAAATGTATTGAATCATCCATGTGTACACCTTAAAAAATTAATTTAAATCATATCTACCGACTCCTAAATCAATCCCAGTTTGCCAAAAAGTGCTTCATGCATTTACCAAAAACGTCTCCAAGTCATCGTATCAACCGGTGATGTAAAAAAAAGAGATAAAAAAGGGAAAGAAAGAAAGAATATGAGGTTAGAGGGAAAAATGTATTGAATCATCTATGTGTAGTCCTTAAGAAATCCATTAAAATCATATATACCGACTCCTAAATCAATCCCAGTTTGCCAAACCATCTCCAAGTCATCGTATCAACCGGTGATGTTAGAAAAAAGAGAAAAAAAAGGAAAATATGGAGTCGTTCTGTGACCTTAAGTCCAGTCTATTGCTAATGAGGGACCAACAATCCAAAGTTAAACATGTGGAGATAGGGCTAAACTGTCCTGGGAGTTGGTTATCTCTGTGTACGCATCAGGTCTCCACCCAAACTCTTCACTCCAGATCCTGAAGATTACATCAAACAGATTTATTTATCTTCCCTTTTGCTCGCCTTCTGATGAAGGCAGATGTGCTGTGGATGTTTTTCCTTCTGCCTTTCTCTTAAAGTCCTAGTTTAGATGGCAGATAGCGTCCGAAACCAGGGAGGATCGAATTTACTCCTAGAGGCCGATAAGGCTAAAAGGAAGTGGCCGTCCCAGTCCTCTCATCTCCCAAACATTAAAGACAACAGTTAAGGTCACAAAAATGGAAGTTTATCCATCCCGGGCTTTATCAGGAGAGAGACCTGTGGAAGTAAACAGGGCCGGGAAGCTTCCTGTAATTAGCCCATTAGCGCCCGCTAATGTCAACTGTCCTCATCAATGCGAAAGGAAAGGCTTTGATAGACGTTCTGGGATTCGAGTGGGAGGATCTGATGGCCGCCCAGTGACCCATCGACCCGCATCCCGCCGTGCACGTTGTGCACGTTGTGCACGTGTGTGACGGCGTGTTTTCAGTAAGCAGTGGGAACACTGACCTCATGGTTTTTCCGGCCCAGTTTCGCACTGTTTTACCAAAAACAAAAGCTCTAGTGTGTCATTTTGACGTGAGTAATTATGAGAAACGTGGAAACTTCATCTGTTATTTTAAATGTTGTTTCGGCGTAAAGGAGAATCTATTAAACCAAACTGCTGTTTTACTAAATAATCAAATAATAATAAAACGTTTAACTAAATAATCAATTCCAGATTAATCGTCAGTGTAAACGAGCTCCAGCTGAATAGAAAGAAAGGAAAAGGATAATGGATAAAACATTTATCTGTACTCTAAAATGCACACAAGAGTAACATTTGCACAAAATGTAATTAAATTACCATTTAAAATGCTGATTATTCAAGAAAAAAAACAGTTTTCGCATTTAAGCTAGCTAGCAAGCTAAGTATTAACTTAGCTGCAAATGTGTGTTAATTTAGTCATTTAAAAGTACATTTTAGGGTTGTTTTATCTTTGTGCTGAAACACCTACAGTTTCTAACCTAATTTAAATTATAAATGACAGAAAACAGCAGATAACTTCTCCGGCTGAACTCAGCGAGATGTAACTGAACTCAAATTATTAGCTAGCTGCTAATCAGATTTTCTCATTTGTTTGTTTTCTGTGGTTTCAGTTTGAATTGATTAAATACATGAAAGATTAAATGCTTTTATGATGATCTACATATGTGTATTTATTTGAATATCCAGAAGAAATAAAAAATAAACAGGATAAAAATGTCAAAAAGGGTTACTTTACTCAACTTTCCACCAAATAGGTGAATCTCATCAGTGATATTTGGTTTAAACTCGGATTTGGTCTTACTTCTATCTTATTTAGGGACATTTTCACATTATCTCCAATGAGACTGAGATCTATCATAACTCCCCTCAGTGAACCGACTCCCATCTGCCTCTCCATCAGTCACCAGGAATATTTAAAGCCAGTCATTATGAAGCCCTCAGAGTGGATTTAACACCTGCCACAGAGGAAGAGATTAAACCTCGCTGAAATTAAGAATGAAAAGTGAATGTTATGAATGTGATCCCAGTGGCCTTGTTCATTTCTCTATTCATCCCTCCATTTCCCAGCGCTCTCATCACTCCTTCCCTCTTCCTCTCGTTGGAATCAGGGAGGATTTCAGTCAGGAAAGCTTCTTAAAGCGGCACTTGGCAAGATTTTTATGGCAAAAATACCCAAAAAACTCCGGGCTGATCGGGCTAAATCATGAAGAGCCATCCACACTAATGAGGAGCTGAGGCTTTGGCCCATTTTCCCCAAAAATAAAACGTTGGTGTCTTGTTTGCTGCCAGGGAGTCTTGTTTGTTCTGCCTTTGTTTTTTCATATTAATAAGTAACCGCTTTACCCAAAGCAGGACTCAGAAGTAACATCTTAGGTGCTCCTAGCTGCCAAAATGTGGATATTTTCTGGTGTAAAAAGAGCGAGCGATATCTCCGGAAACAGGAAGTTGTTTTTTTGTCCCCGTCAGGGTTGTCTTTCATCTCCGTTTGTGATCTTTCTGGGCAGAAAATCAAGGTGGCTCAGAACTAACTCTGCTGGCTTGATCACGCTGTGACCACCAGCATGCGGCCGGTCAGTTTCCCACAGAGTAGAAATGATGGCCTGGAGGGACTTTAAGGTGGAAACCAACTTTGGATTTACTGGTCCCTCTATAATCCGCCATTCATCCGGCGCGATGAGCTTTGGGTGGTGACGGAAAGAACAACAATCTGAGAGCTTCAGAAATCTTTAAAGGAGTCATATTATACCCTATTTGAACAAGTTAACCTAGTTCCCTGGTGTCCTAATGTAATGTCTGTGACAAGCTTTGGTCAAAATCCCGTAAGGATGAAGCCCAATAGCAGTTCAGTCCCCCTGCCTAACCCTAACCCTAACCCTAACCCTAACCCAAAACAGCCCCGATCAGAGCGCTCGCTTTGGAGTGCCTGTCTCTTTAAATGCAAATGAGACACAGGCAATCCACCCACTTCTTCAGGGAGGTGTGCCCACGTCGGCCCGCTAACGCTACCATGCTAACGCTACCACGCTAACGCTACCACGCTAACGCTACCATGCTAACGCTACCATGCTAACGCTACCATGCTAACGCTACCACGCTAACGCTACCACGCTAACGCTACCATGCTAACGCTACCATGCTAACGCTCACGCTACCACGACGTCTCCACAGATAGGGGAGTAAGCTGAGGGGGGGGGGCAACATGCAGGTGAAAGGCTGGAATATTATAATGAGCTAGAGCTAATGACGTCAGAAACTACCCACTCCTGAAACCTCCTGATTTATCTCCTGGATTCAGACTGAGGCGGCCCACAAAAACATGACTGAGTCTTTTTTTTTTCACACTTTGCCTGCTGATAGGCCCTCCACAGTCCCAAATGTACATAATCAAATGATTAAAAACTTGGTTTAGCATAATATGTCCCCTTTAACACACGCGTCGATGCGTCTTTTTACCTGATTTTTACTACCTGATTTTACTTTTTACCTGGACCCACTGGGGCGGTTCTGGTCCGGTTGACCCCCAATGGGGGAGGGACAGCTGGACTACCCCGAAACAAAAAAACAGAAAAAAAAAAAAAACGGTTGAATTTCAGTTTAAAATCTAAAGAAACAGAAATGAAAGAAAGAAACTAAACCCCCAAATTGGATCGTACACGAGTGTTTGTGTCCGGTTAGAAGTCAGCCGTGTCAACCGACTCCTTGTTGTATTTTCCTCCAATTAAAAGTTTTCGTCAGGTAGATTTACAGGTTTTATTAGACTTATACGCCCCCCCCTCCCTCTTGTGACTCGTTAAGAGGACGTTTGAGGATATTTCTGACACAAGCCACCTGCCTGCTAGCCAATCTTTTCATTTCTCCTCTCACCTTTCTTCTTTCTTTCTTTCTTTCTTGTCTCACACTTTTCCGTCGCTTCCTAATAAGTCTCATCAGAGGCGCCCACACGCTCTCCCTCCGTCACTCATCGGCCCCGTCCGTCTCCGTGGCGACGGAGAAAACGATACCTGAACCTCCTCTGAGGAGATCCGTTTACATGCTCCTCTCCCCAGGAACGAGGTCAGGAGGGGAAACGGGACACGGAGTTACCGGTTGTATCCCGTCTGCTAAATCGGATAAAAACACGTCCTAATCCGATCTGAAATCAAATCAACTGTCACTTCATTATCATGAGCTTTTTTCAAAATGATCTCATTTGGATCACCGTGCGATCGTGGGTGAGCCGATTAGCCAGTCGGACTTCTGCGTGGTTCAGCTTTTCCTTTTATCACTCCATGCTGTTTCAAGGGTTTTCTTATGGTGACAAAATGGCCGACACAGTGAAGACATAATAAAGAGATTAAACAAGCGTCGAGCTTTTAAAGTTCAGTTTGATTGTTGCTTCTCTGCTCTCAGATGGGAGATGACACTTTTAAGTCTTTAATGCTGCAGAAAACAACAGTTTTTTTTGGCAGGAAAGTGTGTAGAAGGAGCTTCCTTTTGGACAATCACACAACAGCTGCTCCGTTTTTGGGGTCCAGATCCTGATTTTTTTTAAAAAAGCCATTCATTATAAACACCTTGAGTTTTCCCAGTCGTCTCAGTCTTCTCCTGTCCAGGTCGTGAGCCTGAGTGTCATATTGTAAATGTAAATGTACTTATATAAAGCGCTTTTCTAGTCAAGCTGACTACTCAAAGTGCTTTACACTACGTGTCATTCACCATTCACACACTGGTTCCACCAGTGGGAACTCCAGATCCAACCAGTAGGCAACTGGGGGTTCAGAGCCTTGCCCAAGGGCGCGTCCACATGTAGGAACATGGAGTTGAACCACTGACCCTCTGATCAGTGGGCAACTTCTCTTTCCTCCTGAGCCTCAACCATATCAATATCATCATCATCATATTGATGATAACTGTAACTTTGTGTCTACTTTGTAAGTCGATGTGGATAAAAGTGTCTACTAAATGCATAAACATAACATAATGATAATAATAACTAGAATATGGCATAGAGTGGAAGAAAACATGCTGAAGGGAGGAATAATTCTAAAGATCTGAAAACTTAAGAGTGGAAGAAGAAGGGTAAACGGATTCGAAGAAGAGTAAAGAGTAAAAGGCCATAAAATTTTCAATAAGGTACAAGAAGATTTGAACCAGCAACTTCTGGATCTGGAATGAAAGGCTCTTTAACTGAGTTATACTGAAAGGCTGCACAGGGGCTTTGAAGGGGCTGTGACCAGCATAGGGGGGCATATTTAGGAATGATTATAATATATTTAGGAATAAGGCGTAAAAGGTTAAATATCTTAAGTTAAAGTTTAAAAGATTTGACCACCAAAAGTCATAGCTCCATAGTCCTGAGATAGCTGAACATGTCGATACCTTATGTGTTGAAACAGGCTGAAAGGTGTAGGAGTAGTTAGATGCAGAAAAACGTACGGAATAAAGACCAATAAAGAGAAACAGGGAAACAATAGCTAGAATGCCAGTAGGCGTTCTCACAATAATGAAATATGGCCACTCTGAGCATCCGTTGACTCGATAAGATGTCATCGTCGTGCGTGAGCAGTTAAAGTTTTATCACCACAACTGTGTCACCGGTGTGATGTCACCAATGAGGAGGGACCTCCGCGTTCTGCCGAGTGTCGCCTCAAAGTGGGCCGATGTGGAGGGATTCGTTATTGAAAACAGGCTTTTCTTTTTTATTTCTGCCTTTTTGTGCCGCCTGGTTTCACCTCGGTGTCGCACACAAAGACTCCCAACCAGGTCTGGCTTTGTTTTCAGAGGGGAGGACATGTGAGTGGTCAAAATGGCTCATTGGATTGTTTTTTAAAAGGATGCAGTGCGATGTAGGCTAAAGAAACACTGCAGATGAAAGTGGAAAAGGTCACAGATGAGGAGGAAAAAGAGGGATTCTGAGATAAAAAAAACCCCAGAAACATGTCACTACGTTTTCATCTTCTTTACTCCTGTGTCTATTTGTTAAAAAAGGAGTAATAACAATAACAACAAAGACCTCTAACTTTATTATTATATTATTATATTCCATCAGTGAAGAGCTGAGTTGATTTACCTCACTATGACTGGGTGTAAATGTTTGGTTTATTTCTAATGAGAAGGAATCCCTGATAAATGTGTGTGACAGTGGTGCCCTGGCTCGATGCTGCCCCCTTCTGGCCGCAAGTATTTTATTTTATTTTTTTCAAACTTTGTTTATTGAACATTTTGAACATAAGACAGACATTGTTGGAACAAATTAAAAGTGTCAATACAAACTCAATGTCACAGGTAAAAATAAATTAATAAACAAATGAATTAAAAAAAATAAATAAAATAAAAGTATAAAATAAATAAAAAGTACAAAAAGAAAAACAGATTATAAAAAGAAAATTATAATAAAAAAAAAATAAAAAAAACTGTTTTTGTCTCCGAGACTCCTTTTTTGTCCCTCCGCACACTCAGGTGGCATCAATTATGTGCTTTTCATTCAGGTTTTTCATCCTCGGAGATCAGAACTCAAACTCAGTTTACGGCTGAGTGGAAAAGTAGAATTGACCAAAAAGTTGCTTTTCTTGATATTTCAGATGTCATCACAGATTGCGTTTCCATGTTGAGATTATTATGTGTTATTCAGAGGATCAAAGATATGGAACAGTCTCCCTAAATCACTGACAGATCTTTCTAAAGAACAATATAAACGGAGAGCAAAATTGTTGCTACTAAGAATTTTCCATATGGATTTGTGGTCTAAATGATGTTTTAAATTGTTTTATACAAAGATATGTTGTTGTTTTGTTTTGTTTTTTGGGGGTTTTTTTGGTTTTTTTTTTTTGTTATTTAGTTTTTTTCATACAATATCATGTAGATTGCTTTTGGACATTTCAATGCACCATAATATAGAAGTGAGGGTAAAATCTCTGTCAGTTAAAAGGCTTTTTGTCCCAACCCAGAGGCCTCAAAAGCCATTTATCATCATTTTCAGATTATTAATGCAGACTCATTGGTTGCTGTTATTCTTACCTTAAACAATAAAAACATGTTTGACTTTCATCTGGTTCTGGTTAAAGATCCAGACATTAACAGTAGTCCTCTCTCTTTCCCAAATCCAGGCACAGGGGCCAATATCCAGATGCCCGACAGCAGCATGGAGGTGATAAAGGGCCAGATGGTGGTTCTGAGGGCCTCCTACCTCTCCGACTTAATCGGGGACCTGAACGCAAACATCATCGTCTGGAACTTCTTCTCGAATGGCACACAGCTGGTAAGGAGTTTCCATGTTTTCCCGACTATTAACCTGCCAAAAACACCAATAAGATGAAGTCCTCCTGAGAGGATATGAGGAGTGTTGTGCGAGAAGCTTTAGGTTTGTGTTCCTTCTGTGTTACAGCTGAGGAAGTAACAAATAGAAATTTATTAAAAGTGGGAAAAGGGAAAACTTAATGATATTGTATTATGTGATTTTGTGTGGTTTTGTGTTCCTGCCTCAGGATTTTGATCAAATTAGCGTGCAATAGGTCAAAAATATATTTTGGTGTAGTCTTCTACTGGCTGTTATCAGGTATATCTGAATGTGTACAACAGGGGTTTGAGCAAAAATTTTACCACTGAATGATGCAAAACGTCTCTGATCCAAAAGACTTCAGAAACCGTATGAATCAAATATGACACATTTGGCATTATAGGGTTAATGTTTTCTCTTTGAAAAAGGTTTGGTTTTCCTCAGACTCTTCTCTGGAAACAAATCAGGAGCTCTTGTTTCAGATTCATGTGAGCAGCCATGGTGGAACCAGTTTAAAAACGGTCTTTTCTCTGTTGTGAGAAGCCACAAACGGATGGAAACTGTGCAGGCGGAGTCAGTGAGAGGAAGACTTTTTCAAATTGAGAGCCTGTAACTCCAACATATGCAGAACATGTTCAATCTTCTGGGCCAGAAATGTCGGGATTACAAATCCAACCTGATTCTTTTGACCCGGGACGGCTGCCAGGCCCCTCCACCCGGGGGGGGGGGGGGGGGGTCTGTAGGAGTCTCGGTTGGATATCCAACTCCTACCACGTCCAAGTCGGCCATTTTGATTTGGTCACCATTAAAAAAAAATCTCTAGGATTAGCTAGAGAGGCAGACTAGTGCTTTATGTCCCTCTCTGCCATTGTAGTTTTTCAAAATGGCCGATCGCCATGGAAACCTCTGTGGA